GACTCGAATAAACAGTTGCTTTGCAAACACGAAGCAGTTTCGTATTCTTGACAGAACTCTCGTGCGAGTAAAAAAAGTCCGGAAAAAATATTAGTGGAAAAATGAAATCACCGGATACACAGTTAAGAAATGCAAATTCTGTTAGAGTCTTACTTTTTTATTGTATTCCTGTCATGACGATTATTTTATTGTATTTACGATAGTTTATTATAACTTTTATCACTTCTAGAATAAATAATTATTAGTTGCTTAGAATATAAGCATTGTGTCATCAAAGAATTCCTTGTTTCGATTAATTTGTCATTAATTATTTTTCATTATTTTTGGTTTTTATTAAACACTAATGTACAACAATCTTTGTAAATAATACTCAATATGAGTTTCCGAAGAATCCGAAGAAAACGGGACGGTTATAAGTATGGTTATACTCTTACTTTGAACCGCATTTCTCATAACTTTCCTATCATTTTCGGGGAAAATGGCAATTACATTTTTTCTTCCTTAGGGTGCGTAGAATCATGCTGTAAAAAATTTTTCGTTCCGGCCGTATGCCAAAATTGGCCTTTTTTTAACATCCTCCTTTGTTGCTTTAAATGAACTTTAAAATAAAACAGAAAATCTAGGTGCTTACCAAAGCAAGAAGTACGTTTTTTAAAGGTTAATATGAATTATAAATAAAAATTAAGCTATCACGTGGTGTACTTCCCCTTTTTGTTTTAAATCAAGAGAACCTTAATATGATCAATGGTTCGAGCTAATTACAGCAACATGAGCCAATCTTTTGATAACATCCATTACTGGAGTGGACTGTGTTCTCTCGTGCATGGGCCATAAACGAAGATTTACAACGCTCTTTAATAACAATCAGTTCCATTTATCCCCTGAATATAAACGTCTTTTCTATCAAATTTGTTATCCAATTTCTGTTATCCACGTTTTCACGCTGATTTGGCAAGCTTTCATATATTCTAATTACCAGAGGAATTATGTAACACCAGAATTAATAGATATTTATTTTATATAATAATATCTCTTATCAACGATGTGAAGCAGTCTATAACGAACATTGTACAAATTCTTTTTCGTCACTTCTGATTAATGTCTAAGACTTCATAGTTAAGGTTTAAGTTAAAGTTTAATAATATTTTGTTCATGACTATGCAAATTATTTACAATTTTCCTACATAAAAAATATTACAGTGAAAAGTATTATAACTGCGTTGTGTGCTAAGTTTAATGGTAAAATTCAACGATTTTGAGTATTAAAGTACTTATCAAATTGTCTTATTAACAAATATTCACCAATGCTTCTATAATAATGAAATACAATTGTGTCTGAGATTGAAGAAATCACTAAAATTTCCACACTTTACTTAAATGTTCACTTTGTCCAATCATTTTGAAATTTCAACACTTATAGCTAAGAATCACCCTAATGTTCACACCTGCTGTGTGCAAAGTAATAGAAATCACTTGAAAGATACAATTTTTAAGTAGAAATAAAAGTTGTAAGAGCAAACTTTCTATCCAAGCAAAATCTCCTTCCTTCGTATATTATTAATACACTATTAAAGATTCATTAGTAAAAAATTGACACCTTTTCGTTTAATTTTGAAAAACGTCAGGTGTTTCTGCTCAACCCTATACACGTGAAAATCTGTTATTACATTGTTTTGCAGGTTTAGAACGTTGCTCAATAGATCGATGTTCAATAGCTCGGTGTTCTTCTTCGTCATTAGCTAACACACCGCCACCACTTCCTTGGGAAACTGGACATGCAGTGCACAATGACACTGCGACAACGTGAGGTATATAAATTTATACGTACTTAAGTAGTTCTTAGTTATCGGAGATCGAAGATTACGCGAACTTTTAATTTTTATTTTTCAAAAAATAGAAAGCACTCCACTTCCCTTGAGATGAATATGTGAAATCCACTGTACTGTAATCAGCTCAGCTTCCTCTTCCAAATCCCGCGAAAACATTTTCTAACTACAGTATATTCTCCACAAGTGTCTGACCGCAAGGAAGCTAAACCTGACACTCGTAGAGTCAGGGACTACGTTTTCGAGCCTCGCGCCCGCCTTTGTAGTTTGCCGAACGTAGGCAAGGGCAGCGAATAAAAGATAAGCATGAAACGTGAGTAGGAGGCAACCAAGCGATTTAAATATCAACTTTTTCAATTTTACGTTTTCTTATCCCGAAATTTTTCTTAACATATTGATGAGATTTTTCTGATGAAAATGACATAAAACACGAC